GGTGTTAGTACAGAAGATGGAGGATGAAATGGGTGTTTCAAGGCCGCTCACACATTCTAAACAAATAGTAAAGCATAATCTAATTTTTTACCCATGAAAAAAAGATAAAAATATTGCTTAATTTCTGTTCAAATGACCAGAAGGTACACTGACCTGGGAGTAAGAGTAGTGAAGTGAAGTAAAGTGACATGTGGCCCATATGGTGTGGTGACCCATACTAGGAATTAGTGCTCTGCATTTATCCCATCGAAAGAGCGCACACACAGCAGTGAACACACACACACACCCGGAGCAGTGGGCAGCCATTTTTTTGCTGCGGCGCCCAGGGAGCAGTTGGGGGTTCGGTGCCTTGCTCAAGGGCATCTCAGTCGTGGTACTGAAGGTGGAAGAGAGTGCTGTACATTCACTCCCCCCATCTACAATCCCTGCCGGTACGAGACTCGAACCCGCAACCTTTGGGTTACGAGTCCGACTCTCTAACCATTAGGCCACGACTTCCCCCGAAATAATAGTAGTAATAAACAACAAAATGTAACAACAAAATGTATTAACTTACTAGCTACAACACTAATTAATGACCATAAACTAAAGAAATATAAGGGTAAAAAAATATTATACGTTCAAAATTGCCACCTTAACATGGCCAAAATGTGTGCGTTGAGAAACACGTTCAATTTTGTTGTCTTAATGCGGTCAAACTGAGCGTCTTTACACGAACCAAAAACGCGGCAAAAACTGACGCCTTAACACGGCCAAAATGTGCATGTCTATACGTACAAAAGAAACGCGTTCAAAATTGCTGCGTTAACGCGGTAAATTGTGCGTGTTGACGCAGTCAAATTTCACGCCTTCCGTTTAAAGACTTTTGGCCCCATCCACCTTCCATAAAACTGAGCGTCTTTACAAGAACCAAATAAAGGAGGCAAAAACTGATGCCTTAACACGGCCAAATGTGCGTGTCTATACGTACAAAAGAAACTCATTCAAAATTGCCGCGTTAAGGCAGGCAAATTGAGCGTGTTGACGCGGTCAAATTTCACGCGTTCCGTTTAAAGACTTTTGTCTCCTTCCGCCTTCCATAAGTGAGTTGTTCAGTGAGTCAAGTGCATGTTACAACGTCATATTAAAGAGGCCGTCAGAACCATAGACATAATAAATACCTAGATCTTTTTTCTGGATAAAACACGATAACGTTTACATTTATCAACCGATTTCAGAGGTTTGTGATCTACATGGAGTTAAAAATAACTCTGCCTCCAGTTATTTAGTTAGGTTTGGAAAATTATTAATTTTCGTAAGAAATTGTGAGAACTCCCTTGTCTCACTTGTTGATTTGATTGATTTTTTCGGTTTACAATTCTAATGTTAATGTAGTATAACTGTGACATATACATGTTTTGTAATTTGAATGTACATTAAATGAAATTAAGTTGTTT